TGCCTTGATTCAGGTGCTCGTAGCCAAGGCAGAGCAATGTCGGGACAAATTACATTTTAGAATGTCAAATTAAGAACCCGGCTCACAAACCATTACCTAGAAATCAATGAGTTAATACAATCCTGTGGGCTTTATGTACAAAATGTGACTGTTCTGACATTTCTATATAAATTAGTATTGATTCAGATACATTTCATCATGTATATGTTTCTGACACATTAAACCACAAAAGTGCCCAGTACATAATTAAAATTGTGTTTAACTGTGTGAAAATGGTTCACATGCTCTCTCCACCAGCTCATAAACAAATGCTAGGCAACAACCTTTTCTGTAACATTTTAAGAGCTTGAGGTAAGAGAACCCCTGATTCAATGGGGTCAGGTGGAGCTTCCAAGTGTTCCATGACATTTTAAGTGTATTCAAAGGTATGTAGTTGGCAGTTACTTCAAGTCTAGTAACTAGTTAAGCGTACTTAGGTCAACATTTTGGGTAAACACTGGAGTGCTTTTTGAGTACTTGTACTCAAGGAAATTTGCAGGGAAAAGTAACACTTACCATTGTTCCTTACTTATATACAATAGTTCAAATAACATCAAAAATGTTAACTTCACAATGAAGTACATAAAATTACATATTTTCTACATACATCTTGTTTTCCCCAATAAATAACAAACCAAAGCATTTTATAACTTACATGTAGGTAATATGACAAATATGTAAGTTTAAGTTTAGAAAAGTAAGTATGTGCTTAAAATTGTATCAAATGGCAGATTTAAAATGTTATTTTTTCTCAGAGGAAACAATTTTTTTTACATCAACAAAGACTTTAAAAGGCAAGGCAGAGCACATTAATTTGTAAAACACATTTATTTCACAGGGTAGTTCAAAGTGTTTTAGATAGGATGTAAAAACAAAGCGTAAAATAAAGGACATTTTAAATGGAAATCGATCAAAATGTTGAATTGCAGAGATAAAATTGTTGTTCGGATGTTGTATATGCTGTGAAATGCATGTTTTCTGGTCGTATTATTTGTATCAGAAGTACGAAGTAACTCCTTTTTATAGACTATGTGTACTTTTACTTTAATAACAATGTTGACAAAAAAATTATTTCATGGCAGACATAAAATTGACATGTTTTCAGCATAAAAATCCCTTTTTTATTTGACTTGTATAAAATAATCATTCAGCTTTTCTACATAGAATATAATGAGATTTCACACATTGATCTCCGACCTCTAAGGTCTCTGCTGATAAATCTGTCCTTGTTTAAAACACAGCATGAATGCAGATCTGGCTTTATGCTCATTCGTGGGGAGGAGGGCATCATTAAAAAATGTGAAGAAGTGCAGGTGGACTAACATGCACAAATCCAAATGCTGCAAAAAGCCATTGATGCTTAAGCAACATTTCATAAATAAAGGTGGTGGTGGGGTTTGTGGGGGTGGTGGGTTGGCGTGACTCTCTCTATGTGACAAGGAGAGAAAACGACCAGAAAATCAATTATGGGTTCACGAGATTGCTTATGAAAGCAGAGGAAGTAGCACACAGTCAGCATTTCAGCTTGCTAGTACAAGAAATTCATTCCTCTAATCCCAGTGTTCAGTATTTCGACTTGTGGATCCATGAAGCATAAGCTTATTAATGTCTAATACAGTGAAACTAGCTACTGTAGCTCCATATTATTGTGTTCACATTTAATCTGCTAAAGAAATTGAGTTTTCAAGCATCTGATTTTCTGACAAATCGGTTTCAGATCAGCATTAGATTGTATCATGTGAAATGTTTTTAAAGTCATGCTTTGAGGCGTTTCATGACTATTTTTTTTTATAGGAGAGTGGTGTCAACCTCAAATGCATTTATTAAAAACTATAAAACTATTTTTTAGAAGATTCAAAATTTGCAGAATTATTGGTGCAAAACAAATAACTTAAACTTAAAAGCAAGGCAAGTGATGTTTTTTTTTAAGTGCATACACACTGTGTTTAGTTCACCACTAGTTTTATAGTGTGTTTATTTGTCAGATCAAGTTCCTGTTCTGATGACATCACTTCCTGTTTCATCACTTACTCCACTTCAATGCTATATACAGATTTAGGTCATATATAATGCAAAAGTAAACTTATTTCATGATGGTTGGTTCTAAACAGCACTTTTTGAAAATTGATTCAAAAAAGAACCTTTGAAAATAAGTGTTAAACTACACCAATAAAGGATCCTCTATGATTACGAGCCTATGCACCAGATTTGGTTCTATATAGAACCTTTGTTTTTAAGAGTGTACTTCTGAGTAGACATTGTTGTAGTATGCTCCAATTTGAGATCTGAAGATGAGTATCTTTAGAAATGACCAGGTAATTAATACCAAATTGTTACAGGTATATTTTTGTCATTGACCTTTCTCAATTTGTGTCTACAGTACTTCCTTACAAACAGAAAAATACCAGGAAAGGACAATGAATGTCATCTTGTGAAAGTGTTTGTTATGCGAGTGTAAAAACATGAGGAATTAACATTAAACAACACTGACTAATGCAAATCTAGTGAAAACCCATTTGGAGGTAAATTGAGCTTGACGTCGCTTGAATCTGTATTCATGAAGCTAAGAAAAGAAAGGAGATGCCTGTGGAAGTAGATGAAAGTGAAAGGAAAGCAAATTGCAGTTTGACATTATTTCTCAGTACTGCCCTCAAAAAAAGAGTATTCTTGATTTAATGTAAAAACAGGCCACTATTGCCAATTTATTACGTAATGGACTCTTGGCTAAATTATTGGTTTTTAAAATACATGAAATGAAAATACAAAAATTTACAATTCTAAACTTGTTATATATGAAATAAGACCTTATTCTAATGCAGCAACGTCCAATCTTCCTTTGGTATTTGCCACCAGAATTCCTTTGGTATTTATTTATCAGAAAGTGACTATTTTGTTTTCTCTCAGACTCATTGGATGGAAACAATGGTGCTTTATTCCCAAATATTTTATGCAATATTCCAGTTTGTGCTTTTTTTTCACCCTCTGAAAAAAAGAATCAATAACTTGTTTGTAGAAGTGTTCCTTTTCTCTCTTCACTTTTAAAAGTCCCCTTGTCTCAATGATACCAATAAAGAAAGCCTCTGCCGCCAATTCTTTAGCAAAGACATCTTAATCTCTTTTATTACCACTGCCCTCTACGATGGGGCAGAAGAACTGCATTACTGCCTTTTGATTTGCGTTAATGAGCAGTTGGACAGATGCACCTTAAAAAGATGTCAGTGGGTGTAGTTAAACGAATATATGAAGAAAAATAAAAAAGAATTTCCTTTGTATTTAAATTTGTAATAATTTTGCAACAAATCGTTAAAATCGAAGCATTCATTTTTGCACTTCAATATATACTACATGTGTATTTGTGTCTAATTCCTGTTAATATGATAGTGAAAATGGGTGTTACTGATACAGAAGGTTCAAAAAAATTAGAAAAAATCAACAACTCAGAGTGCAAGGTCAGAAAATATTTAACCCGTAGGGGAGTGGGTAGCACTGTGGCCTTCTAGTTAGAAGGTTGTTGGTTCGAGGCTCGCCGGTGACCTTCCTGGAAGGAGTTTGCGTTGTTTTCCTCTGGGTACTCCGGTTTCCCCCACAATCCCAAAAACATGCGGTTAGGTTAATTGAATATTCTAAATTCCTTTTTAGGTGTGAATGTGTGAGTGAATATTGCCCTGTGATGGACTTGCGACCTGTCCAGGGTGTACCCCCGCCTCTCGCCCTTTGTGAGCTGGAAGTAGGCCCCGTGACCCCAGAAGGGAATGAGCGGGCAGGAAAATGAATGCATGAATAAATGAATATTCATATATCCCCAGCTCTATGTTCCAGATCTAAGGAAGAATGTAATACTAGTTAGTAATGCAATTCTAACTCAATGTCATTTGATCTTCTAACACGCAAGAGCTTATGCTGCAAAGATCTGACGTTCTCTCGTGCATCACAATGCAACCTTTAATCTATTCCACACATAAAATATGAAATTGAATACTTTTCTAAAAATACCAAAAATCATTTTGTGATCTGAGGAGCTTCTCATTTACAAACACAAGTACCGATTAGAAAATGATTAGAGTTAGCGAAGGGGCTTGAATGGGCTGACTGGAAACCATGGCTTGAATCACAGAAACAATAAAGCCCTAGTCTCCCAAAGGTCTGGGGAAATGGATTCAGATGATTGTCTTGTGGCCAAGGCAGCAGGCATTTCTGAGATAAGCCTTCATGCATTTGGTGTTCATTCTTAATGTCATTTCTCTGGATTAAAACCACCCAAATCCACCAACAATCTTTCTCCATGCTAATTTTACAAGATTATGTGCATATGTGAATATTGGAGACAACAGTATTTTGGTCCCTAAAACATTTAAAACTAAAATGCATTTCAAGAAAATCTCCAGGAACTGCAACAAAATGCATTTAGAAGATTTACCAAGTGCTCAGATCAATATACAGTTATTATTAAAGTTGTAAAATCCAGTACTAACTACCACTGACACAGAATTAAGACCAATACATTATCCCATATGATTTGGAGGCTTGCAATTTTAGACTCTTTAGTCTCTGTTTACACAGCAGGGCTTTTAATTTGGCATCTACATGGTTAGGACTGCTGCTTTCTTGTTTGAGACCTATTGAAATGGAGTTGGTTTGTTCCCCCGTGCCTAGTTGCCAGGTTCGTTGGTGCTGCTAAATCTCTCGTAGGAGTGATGGAGAAGAATAGTGAGCCAATGTGTATAGTTTTTGTTGTTGTTTTTTTTCAGTTAACACTGAATGCCTGCTCTACATAAAAGTGAAAGTGACATTAGGACCAAGTATGGAGTGACCCATACCCATCTGCATTCAACCCATCCAAGGTTCACACAATGAACAAACACCCTGTGAACACAAACCGAGAGCAGTGGGCAGCGACGCCCAAGGGGCTGTGGGGAACTGGTCACAAACACACCACCCTCAAACCCACCTTTGACTCCCAGTGGAGCTGGGGATCAAACCAGCAACCTTTTGATTTCCAGTCAATCCCCTTATCCACTACGCCAAGACTGCCACGACTGAAATACATTCTCTCAATGAAGACAGCAGCCAATTTTTTTTAAATTATAAATTAAATTATTTAAAAATGTAAAATAATTTTATAATAACTACTTTAGTTACAAAAGAAAGATATTGAGTCAAATTGAACTACTTTCTAGAGGCCATGTCCAGACTCTTTTAAAGGTCAGTGCATTTGAACACTGGTAATGAGACTCAAGATGGTGTTCATGGTCACTAGCTGTATGGCATTTATTAAATTATCTGCAATATACTTTTTAGTTCTAACTGATATCTCAGGAGTCTCTTTGTTGGTTAAAGGCAGTGCTAATCAAACACTGACTAAATCAGAGATAGCCAGTAGGAATTCAGATATTAATGCAGCATGTATTCACTTGGATTCTGACAAACAACTGGACCTGAAATTATGGCTGAAACCAGTAAAAGCAAAACTGGACTCATTGCTAAAAGATAACATTGATTTTCTGAGTTGATGGTTTTTAGAGAGCCATGTGTTGGGATTGTCACTTTGCAGCTGGATGATTATGAATAATAATTATATAGAAGGGTACAACTTGAAGAGGAAATGCAGAATTCAGTTTCACACATGAACATTCACACTTACACAGAGTCACACAAGCAATGGTAGTTTATCAATGCTGATAAATATTATAAATCATAATAAGAAAAGTTTAGAAATATGCATTTGCTAGAATTTTTTTAAATAAAAACTACATATCAAAGGAAATACAGAGCAGTTATCATATTGTATTTGACGACTAATGTTGATAAAATAATAAGTTCAAGAAACCCAGAAATCTGGCACTTCTTTTATAAAGAGTCTTCATTTATATTTACCCATTTCTTTACTCGTGAAAACTCTTCTGGTGGGGTTTTACCAGTAGAGAATAGACTCAATGTATTATTCAACCCCATCCAATAACCCCTTGAAGTACACACTTTGCTCAAAAAATTACTTTTAAAACTTTTTGTGGCAATGCTTGATATACATTTTTAGTTAAACCACAGCTTCTTCTTCTAAAAGATTTTTTCATTACACAAAGATTACCTAACAAACAATGAATTGTACAAAAATAAAATTCTGAAAATTAATTTTGTACTGCAACTATCTCAAAAATTGACGATTAACCGGTTTTATGTTTCAAAACAAAAATAAAAAATGTTGAGACAAAATAAAACTCATAAATCAAGGTCAATACAATATGAAAACGCTATCAAAAAGCCAGGTGAACCTTTCTTGCACCTTATAAACTTTTGTATCATTGTGCTAATTTTGTCCCAGAACTTGCTAAAAACACAAGCCATATCAAAGGTCTTTTACTTACAAGGGTTATCCCTTCATTTCCCCACTAGATTGGGGTCTGTAAAATAAAACTGAAAGCTGATCAAACATTTAATCACATTTTAATTTAAATTAAATATCAAAATATCAAATTTAAACAATTAAATATCAAAACGAATAACCTTTTTTAGTCCTACACATTATATATGAAATCAAATTAAACAAAGGCTAGGTTCCTACTTAATAGAAAACACCCGATGTGATTGGCACATGCACAGACTTCTAAGGGTTAAAAGCCAGTAAAGTTAAATTAAATCCATTTTAATGGATGACATTTTCAATCATTTATCCCCCTTTTGCAAAAACATGAATCAGAGAGACATTTGCTCCATTCATTTAAAAGTAATGGGGAAAAGGTAGCAAGTTAACCTGTGCATTGATCAGTGCTACAAGTTTCTGCAACAAGTTTCCATATTTCCATAAGAAATATCCATTCATCATAGGCATGTCCATTCACTTTTTTATGCAAATTTTGAAATCTCATAAAAAAAACCTGGATGGAAATGCTTAAATGCGCAAAAAAGTAGAAAATGTTGATACAATTTCTGCAGACGACTGAGTAGGATAAAGAATAGTTTACAAAATATCAAATAAATAAAACTCGAATGCAATGCAAAGGTAATGCGATGGGGCCTGAACACATCTGAAATGTTGTTTGGTCATCCTAAAACTCCTAAGACAAAGTCATCAAATTGGTTCGGGATCATCACCACCCAAACTGCCTTCACTTGCTGCATTCCCAAAAAGCTATCTCTCGCCTCCAACAGCAAGATGACATGACTGCTTGTATAATGCATTTCGTCTATGTGTTATTATACATAACAAAGACCTTTTTCTAATTCAGAAACATTCCTTTTTTCTTTCAATATCTGGCACCAGTTTATTAGGAAGTTACGATTTTACTATCTTGGACTCGTTGGATGGAAACCATGCTTTATTAGCAAATATTTGTTTAGCGATATTTAAGTTGCTTCTGTAGGAAACATCAAACTACAAGGGTGGGCACACCACAGGGTGGCTAAGTCCTGCCAAGGACCCAGCACCAGTGAGTATATCCTATAATTATAAAAGGAACAAATTGTCACGGACCATTTTAAAAATCAATGACATCCATAAACAATAACAAGAAACAAAAGCATGACCTCTTAAAAAGTCTCAATTTTGTGTCTCAAAAGTCTCAACTGTGTGTTTTAGTAGTGCACCTTCACTTTGCAACTATATCAAGGGAAATGATTTGCCTCCAGTCAATGCTTTTGTGCTAGGGAGATGGGGTGAAATGAGAATATAAGAATAGGAAGTGGAGAAGCTTCTTTGTGTCATGGGTAGACATTGAATGTGTCTGCTCAGTTCAAAGATGGGAGACAGGATAAATGTTTCATTGAAACTTGCGGTGCAATTGGATTGAGGTCGATTTGAAAAATGATTGCTAGCTAACCACATAGAATAAATAAAGCCTGTGAGGGACAAAAGCTAGCATATTATTATTATTCAACTATTCAATCTCAGAAACCTCACTGAACATTTATACTAGTAAGCTGTAGGAACGCTCGAAAATCCAGGGCGGTTTACACTGGATGTGACTACATTTGGGTTGAGTGAGCTCATTCATTCATTCATTTTCCAACCCGCGTATTCCCTTTTGGGGTCACGGGGTCTGCCGGTGCACATTTGGCAAGAGGCAGGGGTACACTCTGGACAGGTAGCCAGTCCTGGGTGAGCTCATATTTCATCTAAACTGAGTTTAATGAACCTTGTTTATTTCAACCAAATAATATGCAAATAATACCCTTGTCATTTTATAGATTTTTCAGTCTCTAGTTTAAAGCTATAGAAAGCATTTATCATAATTTATCCAGAAAATATTTAGGTTTTTTTTTTACTTTTGTTGATTTTTTGGTGCCCATCTTTATGCTCTTTCCTATTTTTGTTAAAATCTTGCACACTTCCCATCAACCCTTTTTTCAAACTTTCAAAACTACTTTATTACACTTTCCAAATATTACAGCATTTGTCTCCTATGTGATATATGTGATGTGATAATTATTATTTTTTTATCTAGACAACCAAACTTTTGCATACCACCGTATATATAATGTTTGTAATTGTACACTTAAAATTTCAATCGTATTTTGAATAAATGTCAATGATTATTGCATTTTGCAGTGAATCATCCCATTAAAAGCAGCTTGTGTTTTTCTCTTGTCAATCAGACCAAAGTGATGGCACATACTTAAGTCACAATGAGATGGCATCTTGGATGAAATATTCAGTGATTGCTGGAGGATTCTGTGGTTCCTGGGAACATGACCTGGTAATAGCTGTCCAGAAACCAAAGAGAAGAAACCGACACGACTCATGGCTCAAAGAATGTCCAAATAAACCCAAAGCACTCACAGAGGATATAAAACCCATTGACTGCACAGTAAATAATCTAATAGTTCTAAAGAGGAGAGAAGGTAAACCAAATCTTAGGATAATTTCTCATTTTCTCCTTAAAATTTTCTCCTTTCACATCTAAATGCTTCAGACCTCTTCTTTTTTTTATCAAACAGTGGCATTTGCCTTTAAGTTTTCCTCCAGTTTATTGCTTTCCACTGCAGCAAAGGCTGCAATTTTTCATCCATTTTTAGGGTCAAGCAGCTGAAATACTTGGCAAAGGATGTGAATCATTGTCTGCTTTTTGTCTTGGGGAAAGTGCAGAAAAAGTGATTTATTTTTACAGAAAGTAATATATAAAAATGTGCCGACCTTTCTTTTCTAAATAGACAGAACTAATAGACATTTTGGTATACATCACAATAAACAACTTTAGGTTTCAAGCGATTTGATTTGCATTGTCTTTCCAATTCTTGGAGGTTGACTCTTTCAGATTGTTTACTTTGTGCTTTTCCGCTTTGATTCACTAACAGGAATCATCAAATGCTTCACTGACAGTACTTCAGACACAGAGCATTTAAAGCTAAAGGAACACTTTGCATTTATAATTTAGCACTTTTAGCATAGCTTAGATCATTGAATCTGGTTGGATTACATGCATTTAGATTTACAAAGTTCAGAGTTGTAATATTTTATCCTATTTAAACTGTTTCTGTAGTGAACTCAAAGGTTTGGAATTTCTAGAACATATGCTGTTTTTCCAATGGACTTTAGAAAATAGAGTGGTAATTGGTATGGCTTAGGTCTTCCTGCCACATTTCACCTTTGTGTTTCCCCTGACTTCCAGTATCCTCTCTAAGTGGGCTCGTTTTAGGCATGTCACTCAAGATGCGTCACTCTATACTATGTCATTCAACTTCCACTTGGCGACATCAATGTGAATATGAAATTTCCTAAAACCTAAACATTGGATACAACACCGTAAACCAAGGCCGTTATGGTGTAAGCATTCCCAATACATTTGGACAAGAGGAAATACATTTTACCTGGCGACACCATCTGAGGGGGTTGGGCCTGTGTCATTGCGAAGACCTCTGTCTTTAGCCAAGCAACTCCCCACAGTGGGTTTCTTAAGGGTTGGGGTTATTATGTTGTAGAGTCTACAAAAGGTGGGAAAGGGGCTGGGAAAGGCATGCTGGTTAGAATGGGTCTATAGTGTGGGGAAGCTTTGGTAGAGGCAGAAGTCTTTGAAACGACACAAGCTTATCCCCCAAGA